AGGGCTCCTTTACAGGAAGAAGGGTTTGTGCCCAAACTGCTTACAAAAGGGCACCCAGAGCAGCTACTTCACAGTGCTGGGGATGGGCTGCCATCTCTGCCACCAGGGAATATGGCATCTCACGGGGGCCCAGCTGCTCGCCTGCCATGCTGGATCTCTAGAGCTTCCAGGAGAGTCAGGCTTCTGTTACCGGAATCAGAGGGCTAATTGGCCCCACATGGTTCCAAATCCTGCCAGTCTTGAGGGGAGTGACAAGACTCCCCAAGGAGCCAACCAAATGTAAAGAAAAAGGAGCCAAAGGCAAAGAGGGCTAGAGAACTAAAAACGGGTGCCTGGAAATTTAGCGTTACATTTCCATCTTCCTGCATGAAAGCACAAGTGGGGAGAGCATCAGCTTAGAATCATTCCATCTTCTTCTCGGTTCATTTGTCCTTTAGCCACATCCTGCCTAGCAACAGTTGTTAGCATGAGCTCGAGCTACCAGTCCCTCTTTGGACAGTGATGGAGGGATCAGTTTAGCCCACAGAGGAATCAGGGCATCCAGAGGGAGCCAGGTTGTCTGGTAGTTGGGTCAGGGAAAGAGCTGCCGGGAAAATGAGCGGACAGAGCGCATTGTGGGGCTGTCTTCTAGAGGCAAGGAGTTGGGGGAAGGGCTTCAGCTGTATGAAGCGGGTGAAGTTTATCTCTGGCTCCCTTTCTCTGCTCCTCCAGCCACCCCGAATAATGCTACCAATAATGTCGCCACCTCTACATTTGTGTCATATGCTTAACCTTCCTAAGTGCTTCTGTAGCCATGATCTCATTTCATTCTCCCAACAACGTGGAGTTAACAGGCTCAGAAACAGGTTAATTATGATGTGGGTTGAGCATTCAGGCTGGGCTGGGACACAGAGTGCTGCTGACTGTGGGGCTGGGGCAGCTTGCAATGGAGACTCTGGATAGCCAGAGGGCCCTGGACCCTGTGTGGGAGCAGGTAGGCGGTGCTGCGATTGTGGGTCTTAGCATACAGATGCGGTCCCAGCTGGGCCACTAATGTACTTAGCCACTATGGATCTGTACCTCTTCATCTCCTACCTAGACGGCTGCGATGGAGGAGGGACAGTCATCTACCCTATTTGGCAGGACAGAGGAGATAATGGATGTGAAAGCACCTTTTCTCAAATGAAGTAATGGGTGTCAAAAGGAAAAGAACTGCACAGATATAAAACGTTATCATTAGGCAGAAGAGAAAGGCTAGGCCTTTACCCAGGTCACTAAACAGAGAGGGCAAGCCTGGCACACGGTGAGGGGATACCTTTGGGGACTTTGGTAAGAAGGGGAGAGAATTAAGGCATTGCATACTTTGGGGCAAACAGCAGAAGCAAATAGCAGCCCTCAGAAACAAAGCTGGCGGGGTGAGGGGATAAGCTTTGGCTGCTTCACAATTTTGTTCAGGGATGCCCTGTTTGAAGGAACCAGAAGCCAAACATCTTTCAAAGTCAAATTGCCTATTTCCCCCAGGAGGATAGTCATGTGACCCATGGACAGCTGAGCTCCTGTCATCCATCACTGCTTGCCTTCAGTGTCATTCCCAAGTCTCCAGGCACTTAGCAAATTTCAGAGGTACTGAGCTCCAGACTAAAAGAGGCAAACCCCAGGAGGGAAGGAACAACTTCCATTTGAATTGTAAAATGGTCTATTGGTCTGTTAATGGAGGTGTTTTTCCCCTGCCCCAAGATGCCTGGAAGTGGTGTGAGGAAAGGGCTGCTTGCAGAATTGAAGACAGTAAAGGGCAGTTAGTCCAGCTCAGTTAGGGACAACCCAGGGATGAATGCGCTCCAGCCACAATTGGAGACATGCCTGTGGCTATGAACCACTTGGCTGGGCTTCCTGCAGGAAGATGGAATGCACCTATGGACAGAGTTTGGTTCTTGTCTCTCTCTGCAACTCTGCCCTTTCTTGGCCAGTGAGTACAATCCCTACTTCGTCCATGGAGCCATCTCCAGCTTCTCCATGCCCTCCTCTGAACACTCAAGTTGGAACTTAGTTATAGACTTCATCTACCAGTCTCAGTTAGCACTGAAATTCTCTTGTTCAGTATACATACTTGTCTTTTCTCCCCCAGCTAGACTGAAAGCTCTTTGAGGGCAGAGACCTGTCACTTCTCCTGTGTCCCCCAGAGCACTAGACTCTCTGAGTAGGCACTCGATAAATACTTGTTGATTAATTATGAGTCAAAAGAATAAAGCAAAGCACTTCTGTCACAAAACACTATTTGCTTATTGATTCCTCTGGCTCCAGGAATGCCCATTTTCTTCAGAAGTGATAGTACCTCAAGGCCCAATGGAAACTAAAGTGTCTTCTGCTTCAAAGAAAGGAAAAAGGAGCAAATGGGAGGCTGCAGTGGTAGGGATCAAGGGGGAGCGCTGAGCGTAGGACAGTGTCCCAAGCGCTTCCGCAGCACACCTGTGTCTGTCTTCCTTGCCGGAGCTCCTGCTCCCCATGCCACAGTTTGCACAGCCTTCCCTGGCTGATGCCCATGTCGGAAATGAGCTGGTGCCATCCCAAGAAGTCCTTTTAGTGCCAACAAGTTCGGGTGGCAGGAAGCAAAGGGCTCATTTCCCAAATAGCCCTAGGAGTGAGACAAGACGGCAGCTGCAGGAAGATGCTCTCTGGCTCCCTTCAAGGACATGCTCCTGCCTGCCACCAGGAGCCAAACTGAAAGAGACGCCAGCCTGTAGCCAGCTTCAGAGGGTTCCTATCCCAGGAGGGTGCCTGTCCAGGACACTAATCAGACACATTCCAGCTTCCGAGTGACTTTCCATTGAAAAGTGACCATTTATCTTAGTGGTGTGAGAGGGAAGGAGCAAGTTTCTGAATTCGCCTTCTAGAGGCTTGACCTCTTCCTAGCATCCCCTTCCACCTCCCTAAGGGGTGACAGACAGACTCCAAGCCAGCGTGAGGTGCAGCCAGAGAGATCTTATATGATAGAGACAACTTCAAGGTTCTTTGCCAGGCTATGAATTTCTTTTTTATACCATTATTCTAAATCTTTTCCCCTTCCCTTATAAATAGTCCTAAAGCTTCTCCCTAATTACTGAAACTGTGTCCTGATAAACAACCTAAATGCTTGAAACCATTTGCTACTGATGAATTTGATATTCTCAGCTAATAAAGAATTGCATTGCTCTCGTCCAAGTGTGGTGGCTTACGCCTGTAATCCCAGCACTTTAGGAGGCCAAGGTGGGTGGATCTCCTGAGGTCAGGAGTTCAAGACCAGCCTGGCCAACAAGGTGAAACCCCATCTCTACTAAAAATACAAAAATTAGCCAGGCGTGGTGGCATGTGTCTGTAATCGCAGCTACTCTCCTGGAGACTGAGGCAAGAGACGCCTGAACCTGGGAGATGCAGGTTGCCGAGATCATGCCACTACACTCCAGCCTGGGCAACAGAGCAAGACTCCATAAAGAAAAAAAAAAAAAAAAAAAAAAGAATCGCATTGCCCTCAGAGTGTCAAAACCTCCTACTTATTTTTACAAACCTTATACTAGCTTATTAATTAGCTCCTGGCCCTGGCCCTCTGTATTTTGTTCTGAAGGGCTCTGCCTTGAACCATAATTTTAGCAAACATACTTACTGAGGCTAGAAAACTTAAGCCCCATCTATAGAGAACACCTAAAAGTCTGGGGCTGTAGTGATGCCAGACGAGCGAGCTAAGGCTCTGGGTCACTTGGCCCTGGCCCTCTCTCCTTTATCTCTACATGCTCTGCCCTTCCCATTGACCATTCATTCCTCCTTTTACCTCCTTCCCTGTCCTTGGCAACCAGTGCCATCACAGGCCTCGATGTTTCTACACCCTCACCCTTGAGGACTCTTCACTTGAGTACTACACTCAAACTCCTTCTTCCCTGCAGTATTCCTCCCCTGGTTCTTGATGGAGAATTTATGAAGCTCTTCTGGAATCCCTAAGCTTTAGTCACTTAAGTTGTGGGCATCGGGAGAACAATGCATAATCTCTCCCCAGTGTTAGGTCAGCGATTTCTCTTCTCCCAGCTCCTCTGGGCTTTCAGGTATGCTGGCAGCCCCAAGATACAGCTCCCCTTCTGGTCTACAGGAACTCTTTTCCAGGTGTTTCATTAACTGAAAGACACTGGCATTATGGACAAATGTGGTCCCAGACATTAGCACATTTATTTATATATGCTGCCTAAATCATTTATTTTTTTATACATCCTAAGATATATTCAACCTTAAAATTGCATCAGTATGGGCTGGTTGTGGTGGTTCTCGCCTATAATCCCAGCACTTTGGGAGGCTGAGGTGAGAGGATCACTTGAGACCAGGAGTTCGAGACCAGCCTGGCCAACGTGGCAAAACCCCACCTCTACTAAAAATACAAAAATTAGCTGGGCATGGTGGCACATGTCTGCAGTTCCAGCTACTTGGGAGGCTGAGGCAGGAGAATCACTTGAACCCAGGAGGCAGAGGTTGTGGTGAGCTGAGATTGTGCCACTGCACTCCAGCCTGGGTGACAGAGTGAGACTTCATCTCAAAAAAAAAATGCATCAAGACTTCATGAAGATGCTCCATCTTCCGGAACAACTTCACATTTCTTCTGCCACTTACTTGTCTGTCTTGTGGTCTCTTCCTGCAAAGTTTTGGTTTCCTTTAGGGAGTTAATAGCTAAGTCAATGGAGGATACCAGTTATCTTCTGCAGAATATTTGCATTGGATTCCTTCTGGAGTCCCAGTATCTGAGGGGAAGGGTCTGACTCTAATTTCAGGCTCATGACATCAGTTTCTTCTATTGGCTCTAGCCCTGAAGACAGTTTCTAGATTTCTCTTTCTCCAATCTGAAATATGAGGCAGTCATCATCTCTATTGGTTCCCGAGGATGTAGGAAGATAAGCTGTAAACTCCTGGGTGCCAGGGTCAGAACCCTAACCGGCGTCTCTCCCAGCTGGTTCTGAGGCTTAGTTCCCTGTGCATCTTGTTTTGCTCCCATCTTCCCTTTTCCCCAGTCATGTGATGCAGGAAGAGAGCGCAAATGATATGGAATGTGAGCAGCTGCCAGCAGAGATACTGCGACAAGTGACCATTCACCGAGACCCTATATATGGCTTTGGCTTCGTGGCTGGCAGTGAGAGGCCTGTGGTGGTTCGATCTGTGAGGCCAGGTAGGTGTCCCTCAGAGTGTCCCCCTAGCCCTGATTCCTGTCTCCCAACACATACATATCTTCCCAAAAAGCAGAGCTTCCAATTATTCTACCTGTGTTGCTGAAGAATTCATGAAGAATGGTTGAAGACTTGCCAAACAATAACTGTGTGAGGGAGCTGGCCTTTTAAGACTGATAGACACAAACCATTGAGGCTGTTAGGAGCCCTAGAAAAAGGCTGCAGTTGATTGTTTAATAGTGTCTGGATCTTAATAAAGCTTCCGTTTGCATCGAACATTCATAAAAGAGCCATAATGCCTTGCAAAACAAAGTACCTATTCTATTTAATTCAACAAGTATTCATAGATTGCCTACTCTAAGCCTAGCAATGTTGTAGGGAAGTATAATACACAGTTCCTGTTCTCAAGAATCTAACTATCAGGCTGTGGAGACATATACATGAAATAGGTCAGCCATTGAAGACCAGAATCAAGATACAGACCACAGGTGGGATAGGAGAGGAAAGGATAATGAAATCTCTGAATGGCTGAGTGGCAGTACCAAACATCTACCGTTGATTAAGTATCTACTATGTGCTTTGCATCGTCTTGTTTAATACTCACAGCCACCCCTGCAAGGTAAATCAGAAAATCATTTCCCATTTTGCAAACAAGGAAACTGAGGCATAATGAAAGAGAAATGACTTGTCCAGGGTCACTCAGCTATAAAGCAGCAGAGCCAAGGCTTGCGCCTGGGCCTATTTGAGCCATGCAGGGGAAGTAGGGCCTGAAAGGGACCATGTGGAATAAAACAAGCAAAGCCTCACCTTAGCTATGAAGCCCTGCCATCATGACTGAAATGGGAAAAGGCTAAAGTACTGTTTTGTTTTGAATCTGCTAGGCATTGACAAAAAAGACAGACAGAATGGAGCTTTATTCCTGACTTGCTGGGCCTGAGGCTTTAGATGTTTACAAGTTTCTCGCTCAGTCAAGAGGAGCAGTCAGAGTACAAACTGGTCTTGCAGAAATTTGATGAATTTTGCAATCCTCCAAGGAAAAGAAAAAGATTTTTGTAAGCTCTCTCTTCAACTAGAGGGCACAGAGGAAAAAAAAGCACACATACACAACAACAATTTAGTACAGGAGTCCGTGGCTGACCTAAGGCTCCAGAGTTAGTCGTGCAGTTTGGCAAAAAGGTTTTGAATCTCTGATCAGAAATCAAATTTATCCTGGGAAAGAGGGACCAGCTAACACTTAGTAATAGGCCACCAGGAGCCCCTACTTGAACTTCAAATGAGGCAGAATTTGCAGAGCTGAAGAAAGCCCCCAGGCCTAGAGGAGGTCAACTGCCAAAGGTACGACAATGAAGAAGGAGTTGGAGGGGTGAAGAGAATAAAACTTCCAGGCAAGAACCACAAAAAGCCGTGGGGCTGGCATGTGCAGCCCTATAAAAGGCTGATCCATAGTACTACTTCTGGCCCAGGTGGCTCCTGAATGCACAGGACTTGTTTGGTTCTTTACTTAAGGCCATAATAAAGACAGAAAAGTATCCTACAGAGGAGCAATTATGGTTGATCAAGCCAACAAACCATTTGTGAAAGCAGTGGTAGACCGATGTTGCCAGTGCCGTCAAAGGGCCAAGGCTCATAAAGGCGGTTGAGGTCCATGAGGACCTCTTCTGTTAGACAGAAGAAAGGGAGGGGAGGGAAAGGAGGAAGAAGACAGAGTGGCCTCCACCTAAGAGACTGGCATTTTTGGCAGAAGTAGATAGAAGGAATGAATGAGTTGAAGGAATTGTCCCTTGGATGGTATAACTACCAATTACCCAATTCTTAGCAACTTCAATCAGCTGTTTTAAGTGCTGTATATTTATCATCTCATTCATCTTCCCAACATTCCTATGGTGTAAATATACTGTTATTTTCCCATTTTATAGATGAGGTAAGAGAGAATCAGAGAGATTAAATGTCTTGTCCAAGGTCACACAACCAGTGAATTGCAGATTCAGATTAAAGTCCATGTCTGTCTGGCTGTAAAGAGTATGCTCTTCACCACCATACTCTACTCCTGAAGCTAGTGTACTGTCAGGAGATTCGGCCTAGTGTGTTTAGGGAAACTGCTGCTTGAGCAGTGAATCCTGCTGCCTGTGCTGGCAGAGCCATCTCAGCATCCTCAATATGTCACTTGAGCACAGCTCAATGGCTCTAGAGTGTAGAACCTATTGTGCTGTGCTCAAGTGACATATTTGAGCTGTGCCCAAGTGACATATTTGCTTTGTATGCTCATATTTTTGGAATTTGGGCAGCACCCTTCTTTGGAGCGAGAGGGAGAAGTTGGGATCTGGCCCTTCAAGGTGGACATAGCCAAGAGTCAAGGCGGGTTTGATAGTGAGTCGTGTCACTGAATATTTCTTTCAAATTTGAGTCAGGCTAGATCTGATTTCTCATTCTCCCCAAGTCTCTGAGAAGCGTTTCTCCAAGAAGATCTTTGCTAAACATCAGAGGTAGCACACCCTTGTGGTACCCCTCTACCCTCACCCTTTGCCCCAATCAAGAAGGTACGGCCCTCGTATAGGCCTGTTTTCTTAACCTTGCAGTAGAAATGGGAAGGAGAGGTGGGCACGACAGCTCATGCCTGTAATCCCAGCACTTTGGGAGGCTGAAGTGGGCAGATCACCTGAGGTTCAAGACCACCCTGGCCAACCTGGCCAAGTTCCGTCTCTACTAAAAATACAAAAATTAGCTGGGTGTGGTGGAGTGCACCTGTCATCCCAGCTACTCAGGAGGCTGAGGTAGGAGAATCTGTTGAATCCAGGAGGGGGAGGTTGCAGTGAGCTGAGATTGCATGAGATTGCACAACTGCACTCCAGCCTGGGCAACAGAGTCAGACTACATAAAATGAAAGAAAGAAAGAAAAGAAAGAAATGGGAAGGAGAGAATACAAATATCTAACTGCCCAAGGGTATGTGCTTTGTTCCCCTTATTTATTGGACAGTGACATGTCTCAGTGTTGAAAAAAAAATTACCCTTTAGGGTTTTTTTTACCTCTGTCTTCAGACAAGTCAATGCCTAAGTCCTTCCAGACCAGTAAGTATAAATAATATTCAAGTAAGAAGATCCTTCCTCCTCCTCCTGTCACCTGACCACCTCCAGTAGGCTAGAAGTCATTCCTTGTGCCTAAGCAAGTCCCTTCTGAGAGATGGAAGTCTGTGTTCCTTGTTAAGAAGCAAGCCAGTAAAACACGCATTGACCTAATCTGAGTGTCGGACCTTTTGCTACCAAACCATGCCCAGATAAAATGTTTTCATCCCACTTATCTCTCTGGGGCTCCCAAAAGCCCACGTGGTCCTAGAACCCCTCCCTTGCCTTCAAAGGCAGACTTAGCATTTTGTGTTTGGAACAGCACCCTCTAACCAGCTCTAGAGGGCTTTGGAATGCTCCCTCCTGAAGTCTAGAGCATGTCTTCCTTGGCATGGAGCTAAAGGAGGTCCACTCCATTCTATGTCTTCATTCCTCTGCCCTCCATCTGCTTATAGGCGGCAGCAGCAGCAGCGGCAGCAGCAGCAGCAGAAAGCTCGAATAGCACCCCCTACACCACCACTGCTCAGCCTGCACCATCTCCAGGCCTCAGCACCCACTTCAGCTTCTGCAGTCATGGGGAACTTTCCCAGACCTGGACTTTCCCAGCAGTAGCCCTAAGCCCTCACACTTCTCTCCTCTCCTTTGCAGGAGGCCCCTCTGAGAACAAGCTCCTGGCTGGTGACCAGATTGTGGCTATTAATGAGGAAGACGTGAGTGAAGCCCCCAGGGAGAGGCTCATAGAACTTATCAGGTAACAGGGGCCTCTTGGCAGGAGCTGATCAGTATCCCTACCCCTGTCTCACCAGTGACATGGGGCTACTACTGTCCTCCCTCATTCTGAGAGCAGAATCCTTCCAGGCAGAGAAGCCCTAGACAGGGTTCCTGAACTTCAGGGGCCAGCTATTTAGGGTCAGCAGGAGCCCTCACCCACACTGGCTTAGCATCACACACACTGGCTTCACAATTATGTGAACAAACACAAAGAACTCCCTGCTGGAGTGTCACCTCCACCTCCCCCCACCCGAGGAATCTCCTCATCACAGCCCCTTTGTTTTTGTCTGGTGGGACAGACCAAGTGACAGATGAGAATCAAGCCACTAAAAGAACATCCTAGGCATGCACAGTGCAAGCAAGACATTAACCAACTCCCTCGCTCCAGAAAAAAATCAGAATCCCTGGCCAGGGGGTTGAGGAAAAGAACCTCACAGTGTGGATACTGCCCGTAGTGTTTGTGGCCCCTTAATGCTCTCCCCAGATGGCAGCAGATGACAAAGAAAGGGAATGCTGTAGGATCACTGTTCTCTGTAAATGCAGAATAATCACATCGTCTTTACCCCTACACACATATACGCACACACACACCACACACTATACACACTCTCCTATCCCACATTCACACCACATACACACACCCTGAAGTAGATTTGTCGAAAATGAATTAGAGAATAAGAGGTAGAGGCTCTTAATTCCATAGGCTAACCTCAGTTTGGGGAAGCTTGGCTATTTCACTCCAAATGGAACCATGTACATGCTTGCTTTTTCTCTCTCTCTCCTTTTCTCTCTCCCTTTCTCACCCTCTCTCTCATCCCCTTGCATAGTCTGTCTTCATCTCTACCTCCATCTCCTTCAACTCCTCCTGGTTCAGAGTGTTTTCATCCTACTCATCTTTCTGGGGCTCCCAAAAGCCCACCTGGTCCCAGAGCTCCTCCCTTGCCTTCAAAGGCAGACCTAGCGTTCTGTGTGTGGAACAGCGCCCTCTAACCAGCTCTGGAGAGCTTTGGAATGCTCCCTCAAGTCCAGAGCATGTTTTCCTTGGCATGCTCCCTCCAGCTCAATATCTTGAAATGTGTCTGATCCCTAATGATCTTTACTTTGTCTCTTCTTCAAGTCCAGTTGTCTATTGCATTTCCCCACCCTCCACCCTCTGCTACCACACCAATATGGGGTGAGTAATTTCTACCCTATTAGGGCATGTTGGGGTTTTTTCTGCCTTGTCCCTCGGAAGTCACTGCTTTGCTTTTAGTGGCTATCTTTGCACTCTAGAACAAGGTAGGCTGATTTTGTGAGGGGCTCCAGAGCTCCTTCAGGGTTAAAGCAGAGCACACTCTTGATAACCCTGGGAGCCAGTGGGTATTCATTCATTCAATCAATCAACCAATATTTATTATTGTCTTCGATGCACCAGGCACTGTTCCAGACACTGAAGATACAGCAGTGAGTGAGACAAACAAAGATCCCTGGCTCATTGGAGTTTACATTTTAGTGAAAGGAGACACATCCTAAGCAGAAAAGCTGATAAGTAGTTGTGCAACATATTAGAAGTTGATAAATGTTATTAAGAATAGAGAATAGATCAGGTAAAGACGGTCAGGAGTGCTGGGCACAGGGGTGCAAAATGAAAGTAAACACTAGGGCCGGTGTTGGCCTCATTGAAAAGGTGACATTTGAAAAAAGACTTGAAGGAGGAGAAGGTATTAGAGAGAGAACAGCCAGTGCAAAGGCCCTAAGGCCAGGAGTGTGTCTGCCACAATTGTGGAACAGGGGAGAAGCCAGTAGGACTGGAGTTGATAAGGAAAGAGGAGAGGTGTAGAAAATAGGTCTAGGTAATGGAGAACCATTGAAGCCATCATAAGGACTGTGGCTTTGTTCTAAATGAAATGGGGAGACATGGAAGGGGCTGGAGGAGATGAGTCACATAATTCAACTTATGTTATTCCCCTTCCCTGTTCAAGATGAAAGATTTCCTGTAGTATTTTTCCTGGAACACAGCTCTTTACTTCTGGGAACTTCTCAGACCCTGGGGCTGATTAATCCCTGTAGTTTGCCTCACCAAATGTGGGAAATGTTCAAAGTCCTTGAGCTGCAGGCCTTGGCATTTCTTGAATACCCAGAATCAAGGGCAACTTGACTCTACTTCTTAAATAACTTTGTTCACATAAACATTTGAAAAGGGCCAGCAAGGAGAGGGGAAGCTCCTTCAAGGCAAACTATTTCCATTTCTTTTAGTTCTTTTAAAGGATTATGTATTCCTGGGAGAGAATTTTCATACCTCACAGCCTCTTTGATCATTGGCATAATTCTTGCCTCAAGAGTTTCATATTCTTCATTCTTTTGAATATTTGCTATCTGGAGAGTTTTGGCTTCCATCTGTTGCTCCTTGGCTCTCTTTTTTGGTCCCTCAATTGAAACAAATCTGCTGAGTATGAGTCATGGTGACCAAATGACCTCCTTTGGGGTTTTTCCTTTGAATTTCTCCTCTCACTTAAATATCAAATTACTAACAATTATTGTCCATGGTTCCCATGACTCTCTGACTTTGAGTTCCACAATGTAGGCTTTTAGTTTTCCTTGAGAATTTTCTAGTCTACAGATAAAGTTGGACTAAGGTTTGAAGATTTCTACAGAGAGTATGTGAGAAGGAATATGAAAAGAAGACCTAAAAAATGACAACCCCAGAGGTAATGGTAATACCATCTTCGGATGCCTTTGTGAACTAGTATGGATGGCTTATGTCAGCCTCCACAAATGATGGCAGGCGAAGCTTCCATGCAGACACTCAGATTGCCCTCTGTCCTAATCCATATACCTGAATGCAGCCAGGGGAAAATTCTGGTGTTGCTTCTTGTATTAGATGAATACCTAGTGCATGATACACTACTCTCCTGTTCCCTCTTTTCTCTGTAGGAGCGCTAAGGAATTCATCGTTCTTACAGTTCTGCACACTCATCAGGTGAGTGAGCCTCTTTGCCATTGCCCTTCCTCCTGACTGAGAAGAGATGACGTTACCATATTGGAAAGCAACAGTGATGGGGTTGGGAGTTCAGATTTAGGGGTGAACATAAAGAATACCTTCTGAACACCATGTCTCTGCTCACGTCCATAGCTGAGGATTTTGAAGGGCTGTGCTGTGCTGTGTTCTGTCCTGCACTGTGTTCTTCCTGCACTTTCTGCTTTACCCACTTAAGCTGCCCACTGACTCAATTCCAAATACAGTTTCCACTTCTTTTTGGCTATGCTCCATTAAAATGTATCTGTTCAATGTGAACTCTCATAAAGTCCTGGATGATGATAGGTGCTATCTTATTCATATAAATGACCTACAATGTATGAGACACAGCACCGTATGTGAGGGAATTTAATATAAAGTTGCTGGGAGGTACAGTTGGACAAACAAATTCATCTTCGTCCTGGTGCAGTCACTTAACTGGTTGTGTGACCTTGGATGAGTCAGTTCTTCATTCTGGATCTGTTTCGTCATCTGTACATTGAGAGATTTAAAGTAGAACAGTGTTTCCTAAACATACCTGATCATACTAGTTGCCAGGACTACTTATTAAAAGTAAAAATTTTTAATAAGTAGGCCCCGCTCCTCAAGAGTTGGATTTTAGAAAGTTCAGTGTCCATTATTGGTTATATCCTTATAGCAATCTTAATGTAAGTGCACGAACCCAGATGCAAAACTTCCATGTGCAAAATTCGGAACCCTCATTCTACCTCCAGCCTACCTGTCCCCTTGTTAATGTCCCCAACAGTCCTCTGCACCCCAGCATGGATGCCATACCCTCAACGTATAGCCACAGGAGAGGTCACATCTGTTGGGGGTAGGGTACATGAAATCAGAGAAGGCGTAAAGGAGGAGGCTGCACCTGAGCTGGACCTTGAGGGATGGGGCAAGATTTTCCAGAGACAGAGATGACATAGTGAGGAATGGAACACAAGCGCACAGCATGGCCTCACCAGGCAAGAGCAGGGTTCAAATCAATCCTGGTTCAAACTAACTGCCTCTCCCCATGGCCCCCAGCTCCCAGACCTCGTCTTCATCAGTGTGAACTTCACTCACACACTCATACACTCACACACATACAAACACACTGATACATACACACAATATACTCGCACATTCATTCACACACTCCTACATAATAGACTCACACAGATCCTCGGTGTACACTCACACACATACACTCACACACTCATACACATACATATTCTCACATAAATGCACTATTCACATATAGACACACTCATGCACTCTCTCACATATGTACACACAATGCTCCCAGGCAGATAGGCCTTTCTCCGTTCCAGTTCTCTGTCTCTGGGCAGGCAAGCCCCACCCCTCCATTGTTGTTACCAGTAGTCCCCCCACCCCACTACTTTGCTGCATGCATGCAGTTGCCTAGTGCGAAATGGGCAGTCAGTCTGAACTTCCCAATCTCCTGTCTTGAAAATGACCACCAGTTCTCGCACTAAAACATGCTTGATGTGTGGTTAGAATTTACTACTCTGATCATAGACCCAGTGTGGGTTTACTTTGTTAGTCAAGTCTTATCAAATCTCACCTTCTTGCAGAAGCCTCCCTTCACTACTCTTTCTAAAATAGCATCTACCTGTCACTGTCTCCTGATACTGCTTACTTCTTCATCAGAGCTGAAATATTATATTTTTTAACTTTTTTTTGAAATAATTATAGCTCAGAAGAAGTTGCAGTGATAGTACAGAGATATACCATGTACCTGTTACCCTGTTTCTCCCAATGGTTACATCTTATATAACTATGTGCAATAGGTTGGACACAGTGGCTCACATCTGTAATCCCAGCACTTTGGGAGGCCAAGGCAGGCGGACCACTTGAGGCCAGGAGTTCAAGACCAGCCAGGCCAACATGGTGAAATCCTGTCCCTACACAAAATACAAAAAAGTTAGCCAGGCGTGGTGGAACGCACTGTAGTCCCAGCTGCTCAGGAGGCTGAGGCATGAGAATCGTTTGAGCCCAGGAGCACAGGTTGCAGTGAGCTGAGATCATACCACCGCACTCCAGCCTGGGTGACAGAGCGAGACTCCATCTCAAAAAACAAAACAAAACAATACAAAACAAAGACTATGTGCAATAGCAAAACCAGAAAAAATGATACAACATATGTATATGGTTCAATATGAATTTATCATATGTGAGTTTATATGTCCACCAACACAGTCAAGATACCCCATTTACCATAATATAGTTATTACACATTGCATGCCTGTGTCAAAGTATCTTATGTTCCCTACAAATATATATACTTACTATGTATCCACAAACATTTAAAATTTTAAAAAGTCACTGGACAAGTCTATCAACAAAAGGATTCCTCATGTTGTCTTTTTATAACCACACTCACTTCACCCCCACCCCCAATCCCTGTCAACCACTTTCCATTTCTGTAATATTATTATTTCAAAATTATTATATAAATGGAAGCAAGGCAGTGTGGCTCTTATCTGGAATTCCAGCTACTTAGGAGGCTGAGGTGGGAGGATCACTTGAGGCCAGGAGTTTGAGATCAGCCTGAACAACATAGAGTGACACTTCATCTCTAAAAATTTTCTTTTTAATTTAGCCAGGTGTGCTAATGCACACCTGTAGTCTCAGCTACTTGAGAGGCTGAGGCAGCAGGATTGCTTGAGCCCAGGTGTTGGAGACTGCAGTGAGCTATGATAGCACCACTATACTCCAGCCTCGGCAATAGAGCAAGACCACTTCTCTAAAAAAACAGACAAAAAGGCCGGGCATGCTGGCTCACACCTGTAATCCCAGCACTTTGGGAGGCCGAAGTGGGTGGATCATGAGGTCAGGAGTTTGATACCAGCCTGGCCAGCATGGTGAAAACCCATCTCTACTAAAAATACAAAGAGTTAGCCAGGCGTGGTGGCGTGCACCTGTAGTCCCAGCTACATAGGAGGCTGCGTCAGGAGAATTGCTTGAACCCAGCAGGCAGAGGTTTCAGTGAGCCGAGATCACACCACTGCACTCTAGCCTGGGCAACACAGCAAGACTCCATCTCAAAATAAATAAATAAACAAACAAATAAATAAATAAAATATAAATATAATTATATAATATGTAACCTTTGGGGACTGGCTCTTTTCACTTAGCAAAATGCCCTCGAGATTCATCCAACTTGCTGCATGCATCAATATTTTGTTCTATTTTATTGCTGAGTAGAAGTCCACGGTATTCCATGGTGTGGATGTACCACAGTTTTTTAATCATGCACTCATTGAAGGGCATGTGGGTTGTTTCCAGTTTTGGGCTACTACAAATAAAGCTGCTATAATATTTGTGTACAGGATTTTTGTGGGCATAAGTTTTCATTTCTCTGAGATAAACGCCCAAGCGTACAATTGCTAGGTCAAATAGTAAGTGTATATTTAGACTATTAAAAAACTGCCAGACTGTTTTTCAAAGTGGTTGTGCCATTTTACATTCCCATGAGATATTATATTTACATGTTTATTTTCTCTGTCCCTCATTAGAATGTCAGCTCCGTGAGGGTAGGGACTACGTTTTGTTACTACTGTATCCCCAGCACCTGGCACAGAGTAGGCGCCAATAAATATTGGTTGAAGGAATGAAGGAAATCCAGCTTCCAGCCATCAAAGCAACCTAAACTAAAATCAAGTGTCCAAACTTAGGTGCTGAACAAAGGGCCTAACATTCCCCCCAGTCTCCATCTCAACTTTCCCATCCCAGTGCCTCTAACATTCCCTCACCCCCTGTTCTGCTCACTCTGCAGGTCCCAACCCATGGCCCCTTTGCTGTGGTCAGGCTGATTTCCTTCTCCTTCTTAGGGACATTTTCTTCTTAGGTCTTACTACCCTATGGACTTTTGTCCTTGTGCTATTCCTCATCTATTCTAATACATGTCTGTTTAAGACCTGGTTTGATACTCATGTTCTCCAAACTGCTTTGCCTAATTAACCTCAATGAGCATTTCCCTAATTTGTTCATTCACTCATCAAGCCTATTGAATACCTACTATTCTGCACACTCTTCTAGGCTGGGAATATAGCAGTGCACAAGACAGACATGGTCCCTGCCCTCACCGAGCTTACATTCTAGTTCTCAGCCTTGTGCTCTCTAAACCCTTGGAGCATAGAAGTGGATGAACACATACAGACAGAAGTAATTGTCAAAACATTTAATTACCTGTACAGTAGGAGTCAACCCAGTCAAAATATAAGCTGGTAATAGCTCCAGAGCAGAGCCTTGCAGGACTCCTACTTGTGCCAGATGTTAATCCTTTAGTTGATCTATATCTGTAAGGAGGTCCAGAAGGAGCGATCAGGTGGCATCCAGGAAGCTTAGGGCAGTGCCTTCTTACCAATCAATGTGAAAGAATCTTTCCATATTTTACAACTGGTATGGCCATCCCAACAGAATGTCAGCCTTGCATACATGTATAGTCGATCCTCATTATTTGCAGATTCCCTATTTGCAAATTTGCCTACTCCCTACAATTTATTTATAACCCCCAAAATCAATACTCATGGCACCTCCCTGGTCATTTGCAGACATGTGCAGAGTGTGGAAATTTTGATTTACCCACTGCACACGTTCCCAGCCAAGGTGGGACAAGGTGATGCTCTGCCTTCTTGTGTCAGTTCCCATGCAGAGGTAATCAGAGGATGGAGACGATAGGGGGCAGTGCAGTGTAGTACAAGAAGCAAACTGCAGTTCTGGGGCCAGTTGGACGGGGTTGGAATCTTGACTCTGGCACCTGTGAGTGGAGTGGCCTCAGGCAAGTCACTTAACACTTGTGAGCTTCATTTTCTCTTTGTAAAATAAAGAACATAGAAGCTACTAGGATGAGTTGTTTTTAAAATTTAACACCATAATCTATGTGAAATATTGTAGCAACGGTTCAGTATTCACTAATTCAATGTTCGTGGAAATGTTATAGAACATGA